ATTATAAATAGTTAATATTTGAATAATTTATTTTATATTAATATTATTTAAATAAAATGAAATCAAGCAATAAATATCATAGATATTGTATTTGAATAAATATTTTTATTATATAGCCATAATGAGTTATCTGAATAACTAAGTAATTTAATATTACCTGGGTGGAAAATTTTTTGACAGGTACAATTTCTAAAGTATTATGAACTTGCTTATTTTAAACAATAAATGCTTTTCATATTAACGCACTAAATTATTGTGAATAAATGAAGTAGTAAATATTTATAGATTTGAATAATTTATGCTAAATACTAAAATTATAATCATTTGTCATAAATAGAATTAAATAAATGTTCTTTATACCTATGCACTATAAAATGAAACTATAAATAGTGACATTCATAAAATTAATCCTATCATCTAAAATAAAATTATAAATAGCAAGTTTTTATAAATTAGATAATATCTTGTTTTAAATTTTAGATTACAGTAATAAACATTTTTTATATTCGAGATGTTTAGCATTACCATTTTAAAAAATTTTGCTGACTATATAACCTTATTAAAAAAATTGGTTCACAATTAATTTAGGATTAGGGTTCTATTAGTAGGTTAATGTTTGGTTTAAAAAGTCATAGTTATAGTAAAATTTCATAAGAAAATTTTTTTGTTAGTATGCAGAAAGCATTCTCATAGCCAAACTTTGAGTTACGAATGCTTTTTTGTTTCACTTTTTTTTGCATATTTTTGTATTATACAAGATCTTAAATCTGATTAGCTAGCAAAATTAATTAGGATAATAATTTAATTCCTATTTTTATATTCATATAATATTAAAAATTAGTCTAAGAGGTTGGGCTCTATAGCTTAATTGTTAAGCTGCCAACTCCCCACAGATGAGATTAATGGTTCAAGTCGGGCTGGAGGCAAAATTCTAGGATTTTAACTCTGTAACCTAATATAAGAGCCAAATTGGATGTGAAGCCCTATGATAAGTCCTAAGGTGAAGTATAAAGATGAATTAGAAATGTCCAGAAGAAGATTGACTTTGCAGAGAGAAGGCACTATGTGTGACAGTGGTGTTACAGAAGGTTCTACTACTAAAAATGTTGCGTGGGTAAGTCCTATCGAGATGAGGCAGTACCAACATTTTTGTATCCAACTTGCAGAGACTTGATTGGAAGGATAATACTAATGTAGTTAAACTGAAGTAGTGAGTGAAGTGGTGCATGCAAAGAAGATCTGTAACAAAGGATTGGTCTATCCAAAATTGGAACATTTTAGGCAGATACTATAAACCCTTAAGAAGCAAAACAATAGTCACACATCATAACATCATTGATGATTACTATACTCATACGTAATAAGTCAAGGTTCCAGGCCTCCTTGCAATACCAAATTGAAAGTACAATAGTACTACAACTATGGGAATATACAAAAAAGAATACGTAGTAGCTGCAAATGATAATCCAGAATCTCAATAAATCCAGCTATGCCAATTAGTACCAATACATGAAGAGCTGTATACACCAAATTGGTAGCAAGAAGAGCAAGAAACTGCTAGAGTTAACCAATTTGGGAAAAGGGATAGGTTACTGCAGGAAGTAGATAGGGGGACTATAGTTAGATAGAATTAGGGAATATAGTATTACAAGGTGGCTACAACCTTACCTTAATTAGTAACAATAGTTGAAATATTATAGTACTAGTTTTAATTTAGGAAAGTGTAGATATAATGTCACGTTAGGTGTCTATATAGTAATATAGTAGCACAAATAGAATGTAATAACTTAAATATATTAATCTGGTATTAATTAAATAAAGTATTATGATTGGCATTATAAAAAAAAAAAAAAAAAAAATTAGTCTATTAATATTAATACAGGCTGGATAATATTTAATGTAGGCCAGATAATATGCTAATGCAGGCCAAATAATTTCATATTAAAAAATTCTGTACATGGCCAACAGTATTTAAAATACCAGTCTAAAAAATTTCTCTAGCCAATCAGATTTCAAGATTAGGTGCAATGTGAAAAACAAAATAAGTCAAAAATCACCTATAACTCAATATTTTGCCTATGCAACTACCTTCTGCATATTAATAAAAAAAGTTTTTTTTTACAAAATTTTAGTATAATTATAGTTCTTTGAACCCAACTAACTTACTAGTAACCTAATCTAAAAGTAAATGTTTTTTAGTGAAATTTTTTTTAATGTGATCACATAATAGTAAAATTTTTTAGATTGGCATTGCTAGTCCTATATATATGGCTAGAGGTTGAATCTGGTTTTAATAATTCAGATTTATTACATAAATTTTGTAATATTTTGAAATTTATTAAAATTTAATTAGACAAATTTTCAAAAAATCACAAAATTCATATAATAAACCTGAATTATAAAATTACTTTCAACCTTTATGTGTGGCTCATCATTATTATAAGCATCTGACACTATATATATAATCTATTAGTTTGATATAAATTAACTTTTTATTAATATATTTTATCTTTTATGTTATACAAAATATTGAGAATTGGGTGTTCAAATCCCATCAACAGTGAAAATTTGGATTATCACCTATGTAATATTCATATTATGACAACTGTTATTAACGATTAGGTTAGGATACCTGTAATGGTAGTTGCACCAGCATGACTGGCAAGTCATAAGGCATCTGTGTAAGTATGACATTACATAGAGAAATGTAAACTGACAAATCAGGTAATACAAACACTAGATAAGTCCTTGTGACTATGTAAATCTATTGAAATTGGATAATAAGAAGTTTATTTGAGAAGACCCAAGTAGAGAGGTAGCCAGATCTTCGATGGGCCTATTGTAAAGGCTAGCTTTATGAAACAGATACCAAGATCGAAGTAGTCAGATAGGCAAAAACCTCTAGGTAGGAGGTACCACCAATCAGACTGCCAGATCGAGTTAAAGAAAAAGGATATTGGGCTAATCTGATATACCAATAAATCAGTCATAAGTTCTATTAGGCTATCTGGATTGGAAGTTTGGTAAACTAGCAGAAGTATACTAAAGTATTTCAGATATGCTATAAAGTAGATGCTAAAGTTTGTGCAAACTCTACAAAAGCATAGTGGTTTAATAATCAGCCCTGACTGCAAGTGTTGGTTCTGTTATAGTAATACCTAGGTCAGTTATAAAAATAGGTACAGAAGGTTCTGGAGGGTTTTCCTCAAGAATAAATTAGTTCTAAGATTGAGATGATGATCTGGGCATTTAAGATAACCCAGTGATGTTAATACAGATTACAGGTTCAGAGGGTTTAAAGTTGAACACCCAAGTAGGAGTGTTAGATATAGCAATTGGTAAGAAACCTTCAAGCAGACTCCTTAAATAGGTAATATAGAAAACTTATACATATAGCCAATTGTACGCTCTCCTGTAGTGATTTATTGAACTACAATACTGATAAGTGATTAATAAAAGTTAAAAGACCAAAGAGGTCACCTTAATAAAAAAAATAATAATAATATTGAGAATTAGGTTTTAAAATTTTTATATAAAAATCTAAAGGTTTAAAATTAAAATTAACTTTACCAAAACATAACAAATTTATATAAGCAATTAATTACTAGACATTTTGCAATTAATCAAATCAAAATTACATAGTTAAATTTTTAATAATATATTTGATTTGTGATATATTGAATTCTGAAATTTTGTCAGCACTAAAAATACTAACTCTTTTAATTTTATTGATACCTATTCTCTTAAATAAGATATAAATCTTATTTATCTTTTCTACCCTTTTTCTTAAAACAACATGAGTCATATTAGTGAAATAGTTTAAAAGTTTATCATATACTTTAGATATTGCTGATTTTTTAGAACTTCTATGTTTAGATTTTTTTTGATTACTTAATGTTTGATTAATCTGTTTATTAAGCTTATCTACAAATTCATACCAACTCCTAATTACTATTTAGTTGCATCACTTTCAGTACAAATTATATTTGTATAAAGTTAAATTAATAGTAATACATTATTACTGTTATTATTATTGTTATTAATGTTAATATTATTGTTATTACTGCTATTATTTTCATATTCCTCCCTAACAGATGTGTTTAGTTCTCTTAATAACTGAATTATATGTGTTTTTTTAGATATTGTTTTGATTTGGTTGTTTTAGATTTAGTAGACTTGGATGCCTCAGCATATTCAATTGACTCAATAGGTGCAGAAGTAAAATCTATAGAATCTACAAAAGCAATAGATTCAGTATATTTAACTAATATAAAAGAGGTGGTAAGTTTAGTGAATTTAACAAACATACCATTAGATTCTATAGATTTAATAAATTCAATAAGTTTGGTTAATTTAGTGAATTTAGTAAATGTGGGTTCAGTGGATTTAGTAAATATGGGTTTAGTGGATTCAGTAAATGTAAATTTAGTAGGTTCAATGAATTCAGTAAACATGGATTCAGTAAATTCAATAAGTAAAGTAGAAATGTTAGCATGTTCTAAATTCAATAATGAGTTAATAGAACAGCTACTTTCTTGATAATGAATTGATGCATTTTCAATACTATTAGTTTGTTCTTGACATAGCAAACATATATCACTAATGCATTCTTTATAGTAAAAATGTTTACAGCTTAAAATTGTAACTAAGTCTTTAAGACTTAGATCAATAACACTTTTGCAAACCATACAAATGTTTTTTTTTCGTATCAATGTTCAGCAGAATATCTTTAGGTTCTTCATAGAAAATAACTTTATAAAAAAATTCTTTTAAGGATTCCATGCTTGTTTTTTTAAAAAAAGATATCTGATATATTGTATTTATATTATATTTATAACTAACAAACAATTAATTTTATATACATTATAAATTAACTTAATTATACAATGATAAGTTTATATAACTGTATTACTTATTTTTGGATATATGTGTACATAATATCATTAAATATTAGACTTGGACTTTTTTATATATAACATTATCATAGTAATATATTATCATAGTAATATATCATCATAGTAATACATCATTATAGCTTATTCTATAGCTTATTCTTTTTTTTTAAAAAAAAAAACTTAAGCAGCCACACTAGTACTTTATTAAGATTTTTGAAATTACATTAGCAATTACATAAAATGTTTCTAATAACTAAGTCTAGCATCACCTGACCACCCAAATGGTACCTAAGTGCAACCTGTTACACTACTCCAAACATATTGAAATAGGTTGCTCGTCTAACTACTTAAATTCAAAAAGATAGAAGAGGCTTTTTCCTTCTATGACAAGCTCTAATAATATCTTTTTAGCTTCTTTTCTGATCTGTAAATTCTTCTTTTCTCAAGCTTGCTGTTTGATTTTGCTTTTAGTGTCTTGTGTATTATATAAGATTATTTTAGTTAATTTAGTTGATGCTGTTTTATGATGTTTGTTTAGTGTTTTTTCTTTAGTGTTGTTGTATTTATTTTGGTATAACTTAATCATTATCATTTGGATAGAATGTCCTATGTTGGTTCTGGAAGTGGTGGTAGTTGTAAGATGTAGTCTAGAATTTTTGAAATTTCAAAGTATTTTATAAGCATTGTTAATGTAGATGTAATGTCTGCTTGTTGTGTAATTGGTAAACTGATATATATTTTATTTGTTTTGTTTTTAAGCATTTCTTGTAGTTAAGATAATATTGATAAAATTGTTAGTTTGTTTGTTGCATTAGGTTGAGCTTTTGTTTTTTGCTGTTTATTTGGTATTTCAATTCAGTGTGCTAGTATTTGATCAAAGTAATAGTGTTTGTGAAGTAATCTAGCCATATCTACTAGTATTCTAGAAGATGTAATTAGTATAGTGATGTTGTACTCTGTGATTTTTGTACTATTATTTGGAAGTCTTGGTTTGTTTGTTAGATTGGTGGTTATTACTTCTTTGCTTATAGGAAACTGTATTTTGTATTTTACTTTTGCCTGATTTAGAAATTCGTTTGCTATATTATCATCAATTATAAGATAGTTGAATTGCATTTTGAGTTTTATGTTTTGTGTATCTTTTGGTAGCAATGGCTTTTGTATGAAAAAGTTATTTGGTAGCAGTTTAAATTTATAGTATTCTCTTAGTAAGTCTATTATTTTTTGAATGTCTGTATTTCTTTTGACATGTATACTAGAAATAGATGTCTAACTCTGCTGTTTAGTTTGTGATATGTAGTTAGTAGTGAAGTATGCAGCTGGAATTTTGTCAAACTTGTAATGATCAATTAGCTTTGCATGATAGTATCTTAGTTGTCAAAGTTGCTTAGGATCAGTTATTGGAAAAAAAGATTTTAGTTCTTCTTTGAGTTCTTGTGAATTGTTGAGCAGTTTAGATAGTGATATAAAGTATGATTCTGGTAAAGTTGTAAAATAGAACAGAGTATGTAATCTCCCCTATACTATTGCGTGATTCTTCATTACGGTGTCACATTTACTTTTTGATCTGTGAAGTAGGTTAAAATAACCTAAAATAACCTGCTTCATAGGTTAAAAAAAAAAAAATACATATATACATACATATGTTTATGTATGTACATACTATGTTTCTCATATATATAACATAATTCTTGATCATGCTGTCACACTTTTTGATCACAGATCAAAAAGTATGCTACAAAAAAAAATATACGTACATCTGTACGTACGTACTATGACCTGCAAAGCAGATTAAAAAATATATATATATGTATGTATATATGTTTATGTACATATATACTACCGACAACAATGTTGTTGTTGTTTTTTCATATAGCATGATTCTCTGTCACACTGTTACGCTTTTTTTTAACAGAGATTCCTTAAAGTACTCCAAGTAAGCAGGGTACTTTAAGGGATCTCTGTTATTATATAATATAACAAAATGTTTTAAAAACCGTTATTTAACCACTCATCTGCCTATTTCTAAAACTATTACAACACCCAACACTCTTTTCAAAACTATTACAACACCCACCCATCCTTTTTAATACCATTACAAGACTCACCTCCCTTTTCAAAACCATTACAACATCCACCTCCCTTTTCAAAACCATTACAACACCTACCCAGCCTTTTCAAAACTATTATAGCATCCACCTGAACTATTACAACACCCATTTGCCCTTTTCAAACTGTTACAAGACCCATTCAATCTTTTAAAACCAGTACAACACACATCCACCCTTAGCATTCCAAATAGTTTGTTATTAGCATCAATTAAAAAATTTATATATAATAAAAAAAATTATATATAAAAAAATAATATTACACAAATATCTGAATAATGTGATATGTAATTACTAATAGTACATTATATAATTGCGGATCACTTGATTTGTATAACGATTGTAATACGAAAGTATATTAAATAAATAAAAAATAAAATTAATAAAAAAATAATAAAAATAAAAAATAATAAAAATAATAAAAATAATAAAAATAAAAATAATAAAAATAAAAATAATAAAATTAATAAAATAAAAAATTAATAAAAATAAAAAATTAATAATAAAAATAAAAATAATAAAAATAAAAAATTAATAATAAAAATAAAAATAATAAAAATAAAAAAATAATAAAATAAAAATAATAAAAATAATAAAAATAATAACAATAATAAAAATAAAAAAATAATAAAAATAAAATAATAATAATAATAATAAAAGATAGTAAAAATAAAAAAATAATAATGAATTGAGTTATTATCAACTCTCCCTGATGATTACTTGTACTGAATTTCTAGTGAATGTGTTAAAAACTTGCTTATTGTTCTCCTATAAGGCCTACTATTTTAACTTTGTTAACAGAAGC